TAAAAACAAAAAGAAAAAAACATGTAACGTAAGAATCGAAAGCTACGAAAAATTAGGGGAAAAATTTTGTATTTTGATGAAACTAAACAGAAACTTCGATACTACTTGATGATAATAATAATAATAATGAGTATTAAATTTATACTAACTCTACAATATTCTAATAAATATCCTACTTTAGATATTTTATACGCTTCTGCACGTTACATGCATCCTGCGCATCTTTTCATTCGCAAACTTGCCATAAATCCACGATCGACGAAGAATGAGTGGCTTGAGAACTTTGGCTCGAGATTATTCGAGGTTCTTAGCGATATTACAAGCGGATTGGTATACAAAAAAAGAACTGATTGATGAATACTGAGTACACAAGCAAATGTTCCTACCGGAAGTTTTCTTTATACTTATGTGCTGCTTCGTCGGAAAACAAACGGAGAAAGAAATTAAAGGAAACCGAGTAACACGTGGACGATCGACAGGCACGGTTCAAGGAGAGAAATCGAGCAACGACCGCTTCGTTTCCCCCCTAACGGAATTAGTATCTGTTCCATAGTAATCAACATCATTGTATCTCGATGCTTCATATAATGTGTAATCATTTTATATATGTATAAAATACAAATATGTGATAGAATATAATTTTGAATATGATAAATAAATTAATTATAGTCATAGTTTATTATATTATTTTAAACGATCGATGGATACATTTATCGCAGAATAATTTTCGAATATAATATAACATAGGTTTAAATTGAGAATCTCGGAGTAGAAGAGTATGGCTCCATTTCTGACATTTTATTTGACGTATTCAAATGTAACGTGTAACATATCTATATTGTTATAATGTAATTATTTACTGTGATGTAAATCTGACAACAAATGGACGATTTGTTGCAGGTCTTAAGCCAGAGAAACGTTTATTAAAATGTTACCTTTGGACATCAAGGAGTACAACATGTTGGCAATATTTGGAAACTACGAATATTAACAACGAACAAGAAATTATCCAAAAAATATCCAACGACTTGTCACTTTTGCATTCACCGGTGTGCAACCACCAAATATGGGAACGTCAAACATCTCACTAACAGTGTTTCTAAATTAGCCTATCCTTTCATTAACAAGCAACATATTTCTTCAAACGAATTATCTGCGCTACGCTAATATGTGCGCAAACACGGCTGAAAATCCTGAAAGATACTTGTATGGAAAAATTAATAAAGATAAACAGGTAATGTGCGCGAAAGAATATTATGTAACCACTTCCTTGAACAAACTCAATTAACCATGTCCAATATAATACGTAAAATACGTGACCGACTCATTTTCAACTAATTTAAATTAATTCTGCAAGGAAATTGAACACGTATTGATACATCTACTTTTACCACTCGATCAAAAATAATCGCATGATTAAAACAAGGGAACACTTGGTCCATTTAGTTCGTCTACATAATAATATATTACACATATAATAATAATACATAATAATATATTACATAATGATATGTTACACACGTACCATATTTCTTTAATCATGTAAATAAATTCATATTACATCTTGTTCGTCAGAACCTAAATACTTCACTACTGCGTTAATAAAATCGAATGTTAAATAAACAATGTGAACGAAAAAAAAAAATTGCAAACGGTTTCTTGACTCGTGCTCGTGGAAGTTAACCCAAATCCAGCTATCCAAACTGATCGCCATATTTGCGTCCCATCGACCACCATGCACTCACCGTCGAAAACGTTCACCGTCCCGTGTTACATAACGCAAACAGCGAAGAACCGCCGAAGTTGCATGATTAATTAACCGTACACCCAGTGTTGAAAACCGTCCCGATACGAGACGTCATTCATCGTTCGGTCATTCGTCATTCCCGGATCGGTCTCGTCGACAAAAACCAGAAAACGAAGAGGAATGAGAAGAGAGATTCTCTCCTGAGGAAGAATTCGTGGCTGCAAACTAGACACGATTCAACCACAAATAGATCACAAATAGACGATGGAACGCTTATAGATCGTTTCGTAAACTCAAGGTTGCCAGGCTAATGCCGAAAGGAGATTTCCTTCTAACGTAGAAGCGAAGGGAATGATCGAAAGTTCAATGATCGAAATAACGTAGACTGTCGTTTTCAAAGAAATGATGCACATTTTGTAGATACAATGTCGATCGACGAGACCAGACGCTCATCTGAGATATGATTCGAAATTTAGTGGATGAAAAGAAGAGACTATCAGCTGGAAGTTTCAGATATTTCGCCGTCAACTCGTATGGATCGCGAGGCAACGATTAAGCAAAAGAATTATTGCAGCGTTTGATAATCATTGAAGAAAATGAACTTGAGGACCAGAAGAGAAGCTCGATCAGATCTACATCCTTGCTCTTTGTTTGATGGGATTATCAAGGAATTTTGCTAATCAAAACGATAAATTCAAAGAAATAATGTGTCTAGCTGAATAAAGAGAAGCAGGCTCACAAATCGAGAAAACTGTGATC